GGCCGTGGAGATAGTCGCGGTTGTCCGAGAAAAAACCGCCGGTGCGCATCTGCTCCACGACCTGGGCGGAGGGGTTACGGCCCAAGCGGGAGAGGCGGTTGGGGGGTTGGGGGGTGGGCTGGGGGGGCGGGGGCTCGAACATGAACAGGTACGGCTAGCTTTAATTACGTTTGAAGTCTTGTGCCGGCTCAGTCGTCCTTGCATCGCTCGCGCTGAACGCCGATCTGCCAGACGATGTTCTGCCCGTGATCGACGAGGGCATCTCTTCCTGGAGCTCTGCTCGGCAGCATCCACACTTGGGAAGATCGGCCAGGAAGCCGGTTTGCGGCGGTGGCAGTTGTCGGAAATCGCCGCTGAGGAGCACGTGCCGCCGTCGTTGTACTTCCACTGCGCCGCGGCGGGGACGGCGCCCCGGATGCGGAGGTCCACCTGCGCCAGCAGGCGCGTGCTCACCATGCCCACCTCGTCTATGAAGAGCCAGCGCCAGAAAGCGATGCGGCGGGCCGTGTCCGGTCTGCAGGCCGTGTCCAGGCAGTCCTTCTCCCTGTTGAGGCCGCAGGCCGTGTGCAGCGTCAGGCCTCCGACGTCCGCTGCGTTCGTGGCTTGGAAGGCGGTGACCTCGAAGTCGATGCCCTGCACGTAGCCCAGCACGTCCTGCAAGAGCATCCGCAGGTACTTCAGGACGTGCGACTTCCCGGTGCCGGGGCTGCCGTTTGCGCGGGTCCACCAGGTTGTATTCGACCAGCACCCGCTCCACGACCAGCTTCAGGAACAGGTGCTGCTCCGCGTTGAGGCTGCTTCTGATTTCCTCGCTGTTGAGCCACCTCTGCAGCAGAGCTTCGGTCACAGCAGCTGCAGCCCCAAGTGGAGGGACATCTCCTCATTTTGGCCTCTCTTGGTGGCTTCCGCTGCGGTCGGGTCGTTGTGCTCCACGTGGTCCACGAGGTTGACGCACTCCACGGCGCCCCGGCAGACGCCGCGGGCGAAGCCGTGCGGGTTGTCCTGCAGCTCCGTTTCCAGCTCCTTGTGGCGGACTTCGTGGACGGCGATGGGAAGGCGCTTGTTCTGGTAGTCGCACGCGTAGCCGGCCTGGGCCGCCTGGTTGACTTGCGCCTGTCTCATCTCTTGCTGGGAGGCGCAGTCCAGGGCGCAGCGGCCGCAGGCCTCGTGGAGCTTCTCGGTGATGGGGAACCGGTAGGGCACCTGGACGTCGCCGTTGCAGCGCAGGGCCGTACGGCCAGGGGTGTTCCACTGTACCTCGACAGCGTAGCTGTTTTTTTTGTCAGCAGGAGGAGCTGTCGACGCCTCGCTGAGTGCCAAGCGGCAGTCTTGCTTGGTTGCCAGCCTTGCTACCTGGCACGCGAAGGGACATTTATGTTGGTACTGCTGGGCACCTGCTGGCGAGCTTCCCGCCTTTCGCCTCCGTTGGTCTAGTGAGTTTGCGTCGTCCACTTCCGCGAAAGGTCGATCTTTGCCGTCTGAGGCTTCTCCTTGGTCGGTGCACGGGTAGACGTCATCGACCTCTGCTGGCATGCTACCAGAGAAGGGTCGGCTTCGCACACGCGCATTGCGGTCCCTCTGAGAGCCCGGCAAGGAGACTGCTTGGAATCCTGGCTTTGTTATAACTAGTTAACAAAGTTATCTTAATTAGCTAAAAAGTTAACTTGAGTTAGCAATAGTTATG